CTCTACATTTTATATGACCTTATATATATTTGCTGCTAAGGGTGCGCAGCTCTGTAATTTTGGTTTTGCACCCTCCACTTCCGCCTCACTTTACAGGATGATAAGCAAATTTTTGTTCTTTCTAACTAATTTTTTTGCAATTGATTTCCGGATTCCGTAACGAGCAGCAATGGAAAGAGCCGTGCTCCCAGAATCATCTTGTGTTTCCAAGTCTTTATTTGCAGAATCATATTGTGTTTCCAAGTCTTCTTTTGCAGAATCATCTTGTGTTTCCAAGTCTTCTTTTGACCACTTGTACTTGGTCAAATAATCAACAATTTCTTTCTGCCCATTATAAACTGCAAAATGAAGAGCTGTGTACCCATTTTCAGATATTCTTGCAGATTTTGCATTCGAATTTTCTCTAAAGAACTTCTTTACTTTCGACAGCGCTCCACTGGAAATGGCTTTAGTTAAGATCTCATATTCCGAACTTACAAGATTTCCAGGCCCTGCCAATGACAGTTGTATCAACAATAAAAACAACACTCTCATCAATTCTTCTTTGAATTATAAAGATTAAAATAAACTTTACAGATAAATTTGTTAACCATCAAATCTAAACCAATACCTTAAAAAACTCAAACCGTACTGCAGTCTCTTCAATTAACAGATGCGAAAAAGAAAAAGAAATTAAAACAGAGATGGAATAGAATAAAACCTGTTTGCCTTTGTGGGGGGTGCTCAACAATTTCCTTATGGGCAACTGGGGGCTTGTGCATGTCAGCCAATGCATCCCAAACATCTTTAGCAGAATCCTTCTCCTTTATTTTATTGAAGATTTCTTCTCCACATGAAATCATAATGGCATGAAGAGCTAATGCATTTTTTTTCATCCAGTCGCTACTCATATTTCCTCCAGCAGGCAACTGGCTTGATTGAACAACATCCCAAAGATCTTGACCCAATAAATAGTATCACATTAAAATGCTCCACCTTTTGTAGTTACCTCCTCTAAGAACTTCAGGGACAATCACATTTGCATGTGTAGCAACTTTTTCCATCTTCGCCCCTATGAAATATTTAATCACATAAAACTATTTCTATTAGTGTCAGCATATGAAAATGAGATAGATGAACCAAACGTGTGCTTCCCCAAGCGGCAGCCGCGCGAGTCCTAATGAAACTAGAGAGCACACCGCCTGTTTAATTTTCAAAACTCAAATGACGGTGATGTGATCATATCAATGTGGCTATATATATATATATATATATATATATATATCAATAAGCTCTATTAGATTATCATTTCGAGTGGTTAGTATACCTAT